CATTACAAGTAGTTAAGGAGCAGGGATTACTCAGGCAAAAGCAGAGTAATAGTCAAGTACAAGATTTAGTCACAAAATAACCAGAAATAGAGCTCACAGACTCTAGAGCAATAAATATTCACCTACCAAGTAACCCATGGGTAAAATTTAACAAGTAAGTTAAGGGCTAAGCATGGATAAATGTGAATGCCAGTGCAAAAAAATTAGATTAAGATAACTTTTCACTAACATAAATGTTCAAGACTTCCCCTTTTTGAAACAGACTCAAATTTCCAAACATCAGATTCTCACACCTCTCTGGGATCTGTTTGTTTATTGGTTGCCCAGCCCTGCCTTAAATCAGCAGTTTGCAGAAATGCAAATACTGGGCCCTACACATACATACTGAAACTCTGGGAATCAGGCTCAGCCTTCGGTGTTTTACCAAGACCTCTGAGTCTGATGAGCATTAACGCTTACAGGAGTCCTTCAGTGAACACCCATTCTACACTGCCTCCCTACACCCATCCTCTCCTTGGGCTTTAAATAATAGCCAAATGTTCATTAACTGAAAATATCTATGCTAAGCCCAAACTCCACTGCTAAACTTCACCCCATATGTTTAACTTCCCACTTGACGTTTCCGTCCCACCTGACATGTCTGAACTACAGGACTCCCAACACTTCTTTCTAAATCTGATATTACTTATCTTACTACGTGGTACCTCTGTCCAAGAGTTTCATAAGCAAGTCATTCTTGATGCTTCCTACACAGCCCTTGTCCAATCCACAAGATCTACACAATCATGCATTATAACAGTTCATCTCCATCCCTACTCTCATCACTTTACCATCCAATTTATAAACTTCTCATCCATTCTATATGCATTAAGTGTGATCATATAATAAAATATAAATCAGAGCATATCCCTGCCCCAAATTAACTCTTTCCATATCTTACCATTGCATTTCAGATAGAACCTTAACTCCTCAACAAGGCATACAAAGTTCCAGACCCGGGACACCTCTTCAACATCATCTTAGCTCCCTCTCCCACATGATTCACTCACTGCAGTCCACAGGGCTCAGCATATTTCAGTTTCTGAAATTCTTCTTCACATGACAGAATCCATACCACCCCCACCTTCTCAATCTCTGTTCGGTTCAACTTTTCTCATCTTTTAGGTTTCCACTAAAATACTGAAAAGGCTTTTCTTGGTCCCCCAGTCTAAATGGAATTATCTCCATAAAACCTTGAGCTTTCTCTTCCTTTTTAAATACATACATCAACTTGGAAAATTTTGCTTGCTTGTTTAACATCTTCCTTCTACACTAAACTGTAACTTCCATTAAGACCAGAGAAATGGCTGCACCTTGTAAGAGCACCTAGCCAGGCATGGTGGCACATGCCTATAATCCCAGAATTTGAGAGGCCTAGGCAGGAAGAGCACAAGTTCAAGGCCAGCTCAGACTACACAGCAAGCCCCTGCCAAGGAAGGAAGAAGGGAGGGAGGGAGAGGAGGGGAAGGGAGGAAAGGGGAAGAACAGCGAGACAGAAAGAGGCAAGCATCTAGCAGTGCCTGACACACAAGAGGCATTGAATAAAGAGCTATGGAGCAGTAACTAGTGTTGCTATTTTTGATAAGAGCTGCCCTTCTGTCCTCTCCAGAACATGAACTTAGAAGTTACTGAATATAGAGATAATTTCTGCAAATGAGATATACTTAAATCCATTTATATTAAATCCCTACAGATTTGTTGCAAAATCAGATGTTAAGATTTTACTACCTGTCTGTAAAATTAACAAAGACCACTGGTTAATACTTCACTCACTCTAAGCAGCTAACTCTCAGAGAATACTGAGCTACTTGTACAGAACACAGTTGTAAAATCCTGCCCCACTTACTGACAGGGCCAGTTACCCCCATGCCCACATCAGCTGGTCGTACCTTGTCCTTTTCACAATGCCGTATCTTAACCAGTCCCCATAACCTCATGACTGATTAGCCCAACAAATTGTCACTGGCCTCCTAGTCTTGACATTCCCTATTAAGTGAGTTTCAAGCTAACAACATTGTTTTTAAAACATGTCATCAAGAAACAACTTCTTCCAATCATTAATCAATATGACATTCCTTAGACTAGCACCAAAGGTTTTCATGTATATGATGCATATGAACAACAGCCAGTCCTTCAATAAAAATCTGAAAGCCGCTGGGAGTGGTGGCATATGACTGTAATCCCACCTATTCAGCAGGATGAGGTAAGAAGATTAAAAGTCCAAGGCTAGCCTAGACAACTGGGCAAGACCTTGTCTCAAAAAATAATATAGCTCAGTGGGAGAGCACCTCTAGAATTCAGTCCCCAGTACTGCAAAAGAAAAAAAAAAACACCAAGAAACTCTGAAGGTTACACTGACTTGTATGTGCTTGACAATCTGATGTTTGAAGCAAAAATCGACATACATCTCTACCTCATTCCTAGAACCCAAAGTTGGAATTCGCTTAGCATCCAGAAACCAAACCATTTGAGAAAAAACATGAAAATGTCTATGGTATCATCCTGTAAACCTTCAGTAGAAACTAAAAAGCACAAGTTGTCAGCATTTTCAAACATACAACAGAAATGCTTGACTAGAAGGACAATATGATACAAAGTATGTATTTCAGAAAGGAAACTACCTCAACAGTTTATTCAAAATAATTTTACCCATGAAAATACTGTAAATCAGATTTCAAGCAGCTGATCTTCTCTATTTAGGGATTTTTTTACTTGCAAATCTTCCTACATAAAATTTATTTTAATCCCCTAAACTATATGACATTTTCACGGTGTAGATGTGCACAAAAGTGAAAAACACAGGTCTCCTGACTTGCATGTTCTTACTGTGTCCTTTTCATGGTCAATTTAGTGCTGTTTTTCTCATTTTTGTGCTCTTTATTGGGGATTTCACTGTATAAAACATCCCCAAGTATAGTACGGAACTGCTGTCTACCGTTCCTAAGTGCAAATCTGTGCTCTTCCTTACAGGGAAAATACACGTTAGATAATCTTCATATAGGCATGACTTATAGTGTTAGTTGCCATCATGTCAGTATTAATGATTCAATAAAATATTTTAAAGTGTCTTTAATCAAAACGCACATAAATACATTTATCACTTACCAAAAATATGGTGAACAAAGTCTTCCAGAAACCTAACCTGTCATTTCCCCTAAGAGCAGTGATTCCATATTCAGTAACTCAAGTGTTTATGGTGACTTGAAATGTAAGTGATGATACAGAAAAAGACAGACTAAGACAAACAGGAACTGATTTACTGAAAAGACACTGCAGCAGTACTTATGAACAAGATTGCTAGGTCTGTAGTAAACTGACAAAAACATTTAAGGGCACATCATCAACTAAGCCCTGCCCTAAACACTGACCCAAAGCAAGAAAGGCAAAATCTACTAAGTTTGTGTTTTGGTCTGTCTTAGCTTCTACACATTATCCACTCAATCTTATATGTCTCCCCATATTTAGGTTCTCTAATGCTTTTTCCAAAAGCACTTGTCCCAACTGACAGGCAAACTTGTCAATTACCTGCTCATCATGCTTAAAGGTGAACGAGCCTTACAACTGCCAGCCTTAGCTTGCACATTAATTAAGGCACAGGGGTTTACTAAACGTCTGAATTAAAAACAAACCCATCAGGATCAAAAAGTAAACTGAATATGGGTAATTTTAGTTGTATTAGCTAGAGAGTGAAGAAATGCACAAGGGAAGAAAGCATAGGCCTTGGCTCTGTTCTAGAGAGAACTTAAAGCTTGGTCCCAGAAGCTAAGAAGTTCCATTTTCCAAAAGGGTATTTTTGTTTTTATGTTTTTATGGTTGAATGAGGACCCTCCTTTTAAAATTCATCTCTGTTTCATTCTTCAAAATTATGTACTTTTTAACTGAAAATGGCATAGGACATGCTTAGAGAAGTGATAAAAGTTACAAATTCATAATATAGTGTGTGAAATGTCAATATTTTCTCTGGACTAAAAAAAATATTATCAAGGATTTAGTAAGGAAATGAGTAACACTGTTCAAACTACATTTCAAATAAATACTAAAACTCAAAGATGGAGTTCACAGCCATGTCTTCTTAAAAACTACAACCCAATTCAAACCAACATGTGGGATGGTAAGTATCAAACACAGGAAATTTTACAGTACATCTATTAAAACTAATCGCCAGGCTGTTCGTGGTGGTGCATGCCTGTGATCCGAAAAGTCTGGAGGCTGAGGCAGGAGGATCGCTGAGAGTTTGAGACCAGCCTGGGCTACAAAATGAATTCAAGGTCAGCCTGAACTACACAGCAAGACGCCGTGTCAAAAACACAAAAAAGACCAAACAAAAAAGCCATATACTCATTATTTTGAGAAGCTAAGGCTACTCCTCCCACTTCTCCCCAGATTCAGCTAGGCTTATTATTCTGGACAACGGCCTACCAAACAATGTTAGAACGTTTTATAGATAAATTCTTGCACCAATTTACTACTGTTTACTGCATTTCAAAAAAGTACGAGTAGAATCTGTCCTCTTTTCTAGCCACATCAACGTCAACTCCATTAAGAGAATTAAAACTACTCTCTTTGATTTCTTTTCTCTTAACCTTAGAACTTAAAAGGGTCATTTATCAGTAGGAATCATCTTATTAATTTTTCAAGTACTTATTTTGTAATATTTTACAAATGAAAGCTCAAAGTTCAGTGTGGCATAAAATAAAAGAGAAGCAAGTATTTTGTACAATCCAATTACAGTGGAAATGCAAAACCAAAGTCTAGCATCTTTTTAAATAACATGTAATACTTGAAATTAGACTTCCACCTTTTGTCTGAACCTGTGACAGGATCATGCAAGATCTATCACAACACTCTGCAAGTGGAAGTTACCTGCCTCGTATCCCGTACTGCCAAAGAAACACATGAGTAAAAAGTGCCCTATTCGACAGAGAGGATCCTAAACACATATAAGTGGGCTTCGAGTTTACCTGCCCACCCCCCAGCAACCCAGTAACCGACTTTGGGGCAAAGTATCAGCACGCACACACGCTACACAGATGTTGGTTTCAAAGTGATGACTGGGCAGAAGCAAAGTGAGCAGACACCAGGCTGGAGGGTCTTCGTGCAGAGGCCAAGTAGGACGCCCGTCCGACCCGCCGCGGGCGGACCTCCCGCGAGCCACAGCCACAGACGAGACAGCCTCACTCGCGAGGTCGTCTGGTACTTCCTCGCGCCCCGGCAGAGGGAAACGAGTTCGAGTCATTACACGACAGGCGGCTAGGGCGCGGGAGCCGGTCCCTCCCTTCGGGCCCCGCGGAAAGGGAAGGAGGCGCGCGCGGGGACCCGGAGCCCGCCACGCCGCCCGCCCCGGGGGC